GGCGGGGAGGGGGATTAGGTCTGGGACAGGGGTTTGGGGTATGGGGGAGAGGTGTGAGGGCTCCAGCTGAGGGTGTGGGTTCTGGGGTGGGGCTGGTGATGCTGGAATGGGGTAAACCCCCGATACCACTCCCCAGTGGGAGCTGAGGGCTGGAATAAATGGTCTAATGGGCCGGATGTGGTCCATGGACTGTAGTTTGCCCACCCCTGCCTTAATGCATTTGAAGACTGTTATCAGGTTCTCTCCCCCCGCTCCCCAGTCATTTTTTCTCAAGACTAAACATTCCCAGGTTTTTTAACCTTTCCTCGTAGGTCAGAATTTCTAAACCCTTTATTGTTGCTGCTCTCCTGTTTGTGCACACCTTTTCTGAAGTTTGGCACCCAGAATTGGGTACAGTATTCCAGCTGGTACCTTACCAGTGCCAAGTAGAATGGGACAGTTACCTCCTGTGTCTTACATCCAGCACTCCTATTAATACACCTTAGAACAGTGGTTCTCAAAGCCGGTCCGCCGCTTGTTCAGGGACAGCCCCTGGCAGGCCGGGCTGGTTTGTTTACCTGCCTGTCTGTAGGTCCAGCCGATCGCGGCTTCCACTGGCCGCGGTTCGCCGCTCCAGGCCAATGGGGGCTGCGGGAAGGGCGGCCAGCACATCCCTTGGCCCACACCGCTTCCCGCAGCCCCCATTGGCCTGGAGTGGCGAACTGCGGCCAGTGGGAGCCGCAATCGGCCAAACCTGCGGACGCAGCAGGTAAACAAACCGGCCCGGCCCGCCAGGGGCTTTCCCTACACAAGCAGCGGCCCAGCTTTGAGAACCGCTGTCCTAGAACATTAGCCTCTTTCGCAGCTGCGTCACATGGGTGACTCATACCCAATTTGTGATCCACTATAACCCCCAGATCCTCTTCAGCAGTACTACCACCTCCGCAGTTATTCCCCATTTTGTAGTTGTACATTTGAGTTTTGCCTTTCCAAGTGAAGTACTTTGCACTTGTCTTTTTTGAATTTCATCTTGTTGAATTCAGACCAGTTCACTGATTTGTGTTGATTGTTTTGAATTCTAATCCTGTCTTCCAAAGTGCTTGCAACCTCTCCCAGCTTGGTGTCATCTGCAGATTTTTATAAGCATACTCTTCACTCCATTATCCAAGTCATTAATGAAAATATTTCCCTGTCTAGTCCATCTGTTTCCTAGTGTTTTCACAGAATATTAAAACAAGTGCTTTTTTTTTTTTTTTTTTTTGAGATATCCTATCTCCTAGAACTGGAAGGGACCTTGAAAGGTCATCGAGTCCAGCCCCCTGCCTTCACTAGCAGGACCAAGTACTGATTTTGCCCTAGATCCCTAAGTGGCCCCCTCAAGGACTGAACTCGCAACCCTGGGTTTAGCAGGCCAATGCTCAAACCACTTAGCTATCCCTCCCCCTAACATTTCCCCCCCCGGCCAACTGTCAGACCAAGGCTGTTCTTTTAAGCTAGTGGGAGATCTGGCAGAAGCCACTTAATTTAACTTTACTGACACTGATTCTGTGACATTTTTGCAGTCTCTTGAGAATTTAGCCTGTGTTTGGTCATAGTAGCTCAGCATCTGGATGTCCTAGTAATACCAAACATGCAGTCACAGAAGTAACCGTGTTACAACTGATAATAGTTTTCTTTAGTAAAATACTAAGTTTTAATATAGTGAGATCATCCTGTGAATAGTTGTAACTATTTGAAGCAGTACGTACCTGTACGCTTTGTTAATCTCTTCTAGGTTGGCAGACATCAAAAACTGTCATTCTTGTTAGAGAAATTGAAAAGAAAATCTGGCTTAACAGAACTTGCTTGTAGTACTGTTGTGGACTGTTATCTATAACAGTGGTTCTCAACCAGGGGTCTGGGGTCCCATGGGGGGCTGCGAGCAGGTTTCAGGGGGTTAGACTCGTTACATCCCAGAGCAGAAAGCCAAAGCCCTGCAGCGCAGGACTGCAGCCTGGGGCCCTGAGCCCTACCATCTGGGGCTGAAGCGAAGCCTGAGCATGGGACCCTGGGCAATTGCTCTGCTTGCTACTCCTTAATGCCGGCCCTGGCTTTTATATGGAGAAAAACAGTTGTGGCACAGCTGGGCCATGGAGCTTTTATAGCATGTTGTGGAGTCCTCAGAAAGAAAACGGTTGAGAGCCTCTTATCTATAAAGTATATGAAGTGTGCGCCATAGAAATCTTAGCCTACATTCCCACTGTTTGCTCAGTCTCTGAGTGCAAAACAGCATGCTGACTAACAGTGACACATTCAGTGATCAAATAATCACCATGAGACTTCCCTTACTGTACACAAATGAGATGAAGGAATTCAGTAAACAGAGCTGTAGACTAGCCAGGAGATAGGGTTGTGTTTTCTAATTTATTTTTAATTTTGTTTGGTATGTGTGTGGGGAAACAATGACATATTTGACCTGCCAAAGATCATGTGGCCTGGAATCAACTATAATTGCAGAAATGAAAAAATGAATGCAGAGTGTTATGTAAGCACCTGCAATGGCACTTTGTGCATGCATTGGACAAATAAAACCAACATTGACAAGTTGACTCTGGCTGCATGCACAGCCTCTCAGTAGATTATTCCTGCCGGAAGCAGCAGTGGGGTTCAAGTCAGGCCAGTAGTCTTGGCCCTGTTCCCAAAGTCTACTATGGGATACATCTCCATGACTTTACTCTTTTGGGAAAAATCAAGTACAATGTCCTTCTCTCCTTCCACCTTCAGCTGTGGTGTTTTGCATATATGTGTGTGCACAGCTTGAGCCAAGAATTTGGCCAAAAGACAGCAACCTCCCAGGCCATCCAATTTTTTTTTTTTAAAGGGAGGGAAATAAATGAGCCTGTCCCCTTTTATATTCCTTAATGCACTAAAAAAAGTGGTCACTAGAATGTGTGAGTATGTCTACTTTAGAATGCTACAGTGATGTAGCTGCTGCACTGCTATAATATAGACACTTGCTACAGGCCTGGTCTACACTACAGCTGCCAGTCGATCTAAGCTACGCAATTTGAGATATGTTAGTAGCATAACTCAAGCCGACATAGCTAAGATCTACTTACCGCGGGGCCCACGCTACGCTATGTTGGCGGGAGATGCTCTCCCGCCAACATTGCTTCTGCCGCTCATTGAGGGGGAGTACAGAAATCGATGGGAGAGTGCTCTCCCATCAATTGAGCGTGTCTTCAGTACACCTGCTAAATCAATGCCGCTGCAGCGCCAATTTAGCTCCGTAGTGAAGATAAGCCCACAGTAGTGGAAGAGGGTCTTCTGTCACTGTAGTAAATCCACCTCTGCAAAAGGCAGTAGCTCCCACCCAACCTAGCAGTGTCTTCACTGGGGATTAGGTTGGCTTTATATTGCTCAGGGCATGAAATTTTCACAGCCCTGAGCGATGTAGTTAAGCTGACCTAACTTTGTCATGTAGACCAGTCCTGTATCTCATACCCAAGATTTGTTTATATTTCATAACAAACGATAGCTCCTTATTGTATGAGGTAGTAAGTAACTCTTGCTAGTTATAATGGAAAGTTCTGTAGCTTGCTCAAAAAATCTCATGTTTTCAGTGTATGAATTTGAGAATAAATTCTGTCTGTGGTATGCAATTTGTTCAACTGTCAGATTATGTAGTATATTCCTGAACATTTTAACTGTTGTGCTGGGCAGATGCTTTTTTATAACTACCTGCTCTATTTAAACCTTTTACATTAATTTTGAAGTAGGGCTTGTTGTATTAAATCAGTCCATGGGATTTTTTAAATTCACAACTAACGCATACTTGAGTCAAAATGAAGTGAGAGATATTGCAATGTTAGGGCTGGTCTACACCGGGGGGGGTGGATCGATCTAAGATACGCAACTTCAGCTACGTGAATAGCATAGCTGAAGTCGAAGTATCTTAGATCGATTTACCTTGGGTCCTCACGGCGCGGGATCGATGGCCACGGCTCCCCCGTCGACTCTGCTACCGCCGCTCGCTCCGGTGGAGTTCCGGAGTCGACGGGGAGTGCGTTCGGGAATCGATATATCGCGTCTCTTAATGAGATGCAATATATCGATCCCCGATAAATCGATCGCTACCCGCCGATACGGCGGGTAGTCTGGACGTATCCTTAGTCACTGGGCGTAAATTGGCCTCTTTCAAGTTATAGGAAGGAAAAAGGCTGACCTGGGGAATGCTTAATTCCTGATTCTCTATATATTTGGCCTCCAGCAAGCATCCAGGAAGTAAAAATTGAATAGGCATCTCTTGATCATTTGGCTACTGGTATTTAGGAAACTTATAAAGAAAAAGTTGCTAAGCATTTTGACTGTGTTCGTCTTTAATTTGAGAGAGTCAAATGTTACTTATCAGTATATAACTCACTCAGCAGAAGTAGATGGCTAACTTCCTTTGCTGTTATTGCTGACTCATGTCCTTGTTTATTACCTAATTAGTTTGTCTCTTTACTGTGCCTCTTCTAATCAAGCTGTAAATATGACCTCGAACAAGAAAAATATAAAAGATAATTCTCAACTACCTACGGAACACTTTTGACGTCTGTTGCTTGCAAAAACTAATGGCAATAGGAGGGCTTAGACTAGAGAAATACTGTTCATAACTATTTTTGCTTTTTTCCAATCCTTTAATATTGTAGCTTTGAGCGTCCTATTGATATCAATAGAATAAGTAAAATTGGCACTATCGACATTATAAGCCAAAACTTGACTTTTTCGTGATGCAGAGTGATTTGGTCTGGGGGGTTGGAGATTCTTTTAAATTGCTACTAGGAGCGTAGCAGTGCTTAGATAGCATGGTGATGGGCATTTTATAAAAAACAGAAGGCACTTACGATATGTGCCACTGTAGAACAGCAAAAATTGATGTGTACATGTCATGGAGGGGAAAACTTTTCCGGGGGAAATGTACTTGTACGCTTGGAAGCTTGAAAACCAGTGATTTTGAGAAAATGTCCTTAATTGTGCTCCTTTTTTATTCTTTCTAGAGCTTCATTTAAGAACAGAAATCAGTCTCTATTAGAAGTTTGAAAAGCTTAGTGACTTTCTGCTACTCAAGACATGACGCTTCCATTCCGAAAAGATTTGGACAAGTACAAGGATCTTGATGAAGATGAAATTCTTGACAAGCTATCAGAAGAAGAACTGAAACAACTGGAAACTGTTCTGGATGACCTTGATCCTGAGGTGGGAATTGGGCAGCAAACAGCTTTTTTTGGTGGCACTGGTTTAGAAACTATGCTGACAAACTTGTGCAGCTCTCTTTAATTCATTTTATATGCACAGAACAGGTATTCTAATCTGCTAAAGAAACAATACAAAAAATAAAAAAACCTCATCTCTCAAAGCTGTTTATTTCCTGTTTGCAACATGAAAACAACCAATGTAACGCGAAATGACCATGAAGACCTTTTTGGGAATGATTTATAATTAGAGAAAGGAAAAATTACAGTTGGTGCTGTTCCTGAAGGAAATTTTTTGTTTGAAAATGTTTCTAGCTTTATTATCCTGTTTCCAACATGTATTGATCACCCTCCTTTTTTACCCCTGGTGGCCTTCTCTGTAGCATGTACTAATGTAGTATGACGAGGGGAAGGGTGGACTTCCTCCTCCTCCCTGTTCTTTAGCTAGATTTGGGTTCTAGTCCCAGCTGTCAATTTAGACTTAAATTTGATATAATCTCTGTAGACTTGTGACATTGTCAGTTGTATTGTAATACATTATTCAGTGCTGAATAACTTGATCTGTAGCAGAGTATTCTTGTGGGATACTATTAGTGCTGGTCTACACTACGACTTTAATTTGGATTTAGCTGCGTTAATCCGAATTAATCCTTAACCCGTCCACACAACGGAGCCAGTTACTTCGAATTAAAGGGCACTTAAAATCGATTTCTGTACTCCACCCCGACGAGCGGAGTAGCACCAAAATCGATTTTGTAAATTCGAATTAGGGGTAGTGTGGCCGCACACCACCGAATTACTGTGGTTAAAATTAATGGGGTAGTGTGGCCGCACACCACCGAATTAATGTGGTTAAAAACCGAATTAATGTGCTTAGTGTGGCCGCGCACAATCGAATTTATACAATCTGTTTCCCAAATTCGAATTATCTAAATTCGAATTAATCTTGTAGTGTAGACGTACCCTAAGTTACGTATGGTTGCTTACTTCTCATGTTGGTGACATGCATAATTTTTAACTGTGTGAAAACTGTCAAAATCCATTTTTTAAAAAGACCATCAGAAATCTTCCCCCCCTTTCTTATGTACTGCTCCCTCTTTTCTATCCACATTTCTTCCTCCATTTTTTCTATGACTTTATCCTTTAATTCACATTATACTAGCAGTTGCAGAAGACCTTGAGTAAGATGAAGTGTTCTGCACAAAGTGCTTCCCCATGTTGTTGGTTGCTGACTGAGTTGGCTAGAATAGACAGTTGTCTTGTGAATTTGGAAAGGTGTAGATAGCCTCCTGACTGAGCATCCAATGTGCAAATGGGCTGAGTGTTTTTATTCACTCCTCCCCATGCAAGTGAAGGGGGCATTCATATTGAAAAGGAAATGTGAAATAACTACTGTGTGAGTTAAGAAGCTCTGGTACTCTTCAAGCTTATCTGTTTCGGTTTTTTTAAAACACTAATAATGCACAATATGCAATCCATTGTATGTAGACCTGGCCTCCAAAAAAATATTGGAGGGAGGTTCAAGATTTTCTGAAAAGTAGAATAGAATGAATTTGATTTTCAAAAAGACTGAATTGAAGCTGACATCTTGTATACCAGGACTTTTTAAGCTTTGTCATGATTCTTTCTTTTGTTTTGTAGAATGCACTTTTGCCAGCAGGCTTCCGACAGAAGGACCAGACTACTAAAAAGGCCTCAGGCGCTTTTGACAGAGAGGGACTCCTTGCTTATTTGGAGAAGGATGCACTGGAACAGGAAGACAGGGAAGAATTTGTTCCTTTTACAGGGGAAAAGAAAGGTAAGAATGTCCTTAGCCAGCATGTTGATACTCATTCAGGAATGCACTTTACTGGTGTGATGCGTGGGCTGTTTTGACATCCCTCTTTGGGCGGAATAGCCAGCAACTCCCCTCAGACAGTTCATTAGAAGTGTAATTCTCCCTGTCAGTAGTTGGAAATGCTCCTGTAGCTTGCACCACCAGTGCGCCAGAGAATTGCTTATGGATGATTCCATTAATAATTTGATATTACATTAAAATATATCAAGAAAATTCCATTGAAACAACATGATCTAGTGGACTAAGCACAGTGTCAGGAGCCAGGAAGTCCTGAATTCAGGTTCTAGGTCTCCCACTGATCTGTTGGGAACTGTTCTCTGCTTCCCCTATCTCTAAAACAGGAATGCTTACCAACCTTAGAAGGGTGTCATTATCATTAGTTATTGTTTTATAGTGGTTTGAAAGTATACATGTATTGTAGAGTATAAAACAAACTGTATATATTACAAATAAAGCCACCCTTATAAAACTGGAGAAGAAGTAGAGGGGTCCAACATGGTGGTGGGGAAAGAGAAGAAAGGCTGTAAATAGGAGTAGTGGTCTTATTAAAAGCCACTTGGCATTGAAGAGATTGGATAGTAATAAAAATGAGGGATGGCTGTGACTGATTTAAAAGGCAAAGCTTTTCTACAGCTTGGGGCCCAGTACAGCAAAAGGCATTATTGCCTGCCAACCCCAGATGAGATGGTAGGATTCCTAGGAGAAAAATGGCCCAGAGCACATTTAAATTTGTTACCCATGACATTATATTATGAGAAGCTTCATGTCTCATTTGTGCTTTATTAGTGATTCAGGTTTCTGGTTTAAAAATATGTTTAATGCTTGCTGTTACTCTGCATTTTAGGAAAGTGTGTTGGGTTGGAATTTTATTGGGAATGCTTTAAAAAAAGACACAACACAGAAGACATGCTTTCACCCCAAAGAAAATGTTGAAGATGAAAACACGTATCTGGAGTGTGTATAATAAGAGTGTATATGATTATATATATGCATACACATGCTCAGAGTTGATTCTGGTATCTAACAATTCCTATTGGCATAATTATGTGTGTACAGCTCAAATAGGATATAGCACTTGGAGATAGTGAAGAAAATTTCACTATACATCAACTCTGCTTCCCAATAATTTAAGAAAATGTCCAAGTGTCCTTGTCCTGGAGTATGATTTAGAATCAAAGTAAGTCTTCAAGTGTTTCTGACACTTCTAAAGCTTGGCTACAAATCACTATTGTCAAACAAATGTAAGTGTAGAAAAAACATAATGGCTAATGTGAAAGTATATTCAGAAATGCTACTAACTCATAAAGCCTCTGGAACTGAAATAATTAAGATTTATTTTTTTTAAAACAAGATTTTGGTTAACAGCTCTGTGGTTCTGTCCTTATGGAACAGTTTCTTCCCTGACCCAGATTTAAAATTGAGCCTGTCAATCTGTCCTCATTCACCCCATTATAAATTATGATTATGTTGGAAGGAATCAATGGACTTCAATGAATTCAATATTTTCCTTTTATGGGAGGAAAAAAGTTCCCGTCTTCTTACTATTTGGTGTCTTCAGGCTCTGCTTTTCAACTGTACCTTGTACACATTGGTGCAAAACACTAGATTCTAGTTTATCTATTGATGAAAGAACACCTGGTTCTGGATTTTCAGACTTTTGTGTACGTTAGCCTGCTTAATTTGCATATGCAATTATTGATTGCGCATAGCAATTAGATGCAGAAGTTTGGGTGAATATTTTCATATATAATGCTTACAACTACAACAACCACAACCTCTTCTGCTTCTTCTGGCTTGTATTTGGCTCTTTAATATGCTATTTAACCTCTCTTGTTCTGTGTTTCTAAGCTTGGTCAGATTTCCCAGCATATAGTGTAAACAGCTTAAGGGTAAAAGGTGACTGAGAGAGAAGTCCTCTGGATTTCCTCACCTTAAAGGCCTTGTTTCTAGTCTAGCCAAGAAAGGTTAGACATGGCTCTCTTTGGTCCTCGTGGAAGCAGTCCTTAGATTGGCTGGAAGGATCTAAGAGAGTAATAAAAGTAATGCTTGATTCTCTTTACTCCACTTACCACCCAGCCTGATAACTCTGCTGCCTCAGATTTCCCAGCTCTTGCCGGCCTGGAAAAGGAGAAGATGTTTTTAATATGGTTTCACTCAGCTAGGGGAATGCCTTCTAAAGTTCCTCCGGCTTTCTTGTTATCAGCTTTGTAGACCAAAGCCATGGTCATTAATTCTGGAAAATAGAAGGATCCAGCTGTAGTATAAATCATAGTGAATAAAGATCAAATGTCACTTCCTTTATGTAATGAAGTATTACTAATGGCAACAAGCTGTTGAGATATAGCAGTGTTATGCCAGCGTAGCCATTAAAGATCCCTTCTCTCCTAAAAAGAGGGTTCTTATTTAATAACGTTCCCTATCTTTTTCCTTCAGTACTAAAGGCAAAGATAAGTTTAATTTAAAAAAGGAGTAAATGTAAATAATATATTAAAAGTATTGTAAAAAGCTAAACTAGGCACTCTTCAAATGAGAGCTATGAAAACAGAACTTTTGCAGTGTATAGTAGTGAGGAATTTCGTGCACATCTTAGCATAATTCTTCATTACTCCTTTCTCCAGCCCCCCACCCTCCGGCTCTGGTTTTATGATAGGGCCAAAAAAAAAAAAATCACCTTTCATTGGATTTAGGTTTTTTTTTATTCTTGCGTGGGAGAGTGATGCTGACTGTCAAAACTCAACCTTAGCTGGCTGCCACAATTAGATTAAGATTTGCGAAAAGTTGACTGACTTTGGATACTTTAATTTTTGGGTGCACAGCCTGAGACTTTAAGGGGATCTGATCTTCAGAAAGTTCTGAAACCTCTAAAAAATCAAGCCCCTCAGGGGCACTCTAGCCCTACACTAAGTTTGACCCATTATATTGCATAAGGTTACATCCTGTGTGCTGTAGAATCATAGAATAAAGTCAGTGAAGGTATTCAGTATTTGAGACTCCTGGGTTTAGAAAAAGGGATTTACTGTACTTTTTGGGTTGAATATAAACTTTCTTTCACTTTCTAAAGTTCCTCTCTTTAACAATAAAACCTGATCAGAGAACTTCAGCACATATTCATCATTCTGAGGAATTTCCATTATAACTTTCCAGGACTCACTTTGATAGAGAATAGTGATGTAAATCAAACTAACAACTCGTGCCTTGCCATTCTGTGCTTAGTCTGAACTTTTTATTGTTGTGTGGGCAATTGTTAGGGAAAGTAGGGAATTTAGTTTATTTTTGTGTCTGGATTATTTTGTATGCTAGAGGTTGCTGCTTTTGACTTTTTTGTAAGTATTTGTTAGACATGCCTATAGTGTCAGGTGCTTCTTGTTTCAGAAATAAAAATAATTTTTTAAAATTATCTCACTAGTTCAGGAGAAGCTAGAGAAATGACATTCAATATAAAAATTGTGTGATAGAGGATAGGCCTACACAGAGCCTGAGCGTGCTTTTAATTTATTCATAGCTTTTTGTTCTAAGCTCCACTAATACAGTTCAGTCCAATTCATTCATTTACCTTTTACCCAGGGAAATAATTTGATTGTTTTAGTGTCATGCCATGATTTGTTTTGGTTTTAGTACTATCTCTTCTATTATAGATGCCAAAAAGGCCATGAATGGGAAGTAGTGACTGCATTTCTGAATTAACAGGTCTGACCTAGCTACAAACAATAGACACATAAACAGCATAGTACTTCACACTTGCTCTTAGTGCTTTTCATCCCTAGGTATCTCAGGGCTAGTCTACACTGGCAACGCCAAAGCGCTGCCACGGCAGTGCTTTAACATGCCTTGTGTGGTCATGGCGCAGCTCTGGGAGAGAGCTTTCCCAGCGCTCTAAAAAAATTAGGTGCGGCTCCCAGCGCTGGGGCACTGTTTACACTGGCGCTTTAGAGCGCTGCAACTTGCTGCGCTCGGGGGTGTTTTTTCACCTCCCTGAGTGAGAAAGTTGCAGCGCTGTTAATTGCCAGTGTAGACAAGCCCTCAGGCTTGGCCTCCTAATTTATGTCAGTATAACTACATTGCTTGGGGGGTGGAAAAATCCATACCCCTGAGCCACGTAGTTGTATCAGCCTAATTCCCTGTGTGGACAGCTCTCCTGTCTTCATTATGTGCACTGTAAGTGTAGACAAGCCCTCAGAGTAACAGACAAACTTAAAACTTCAGTGAACTCAATCTGAATAAATGGAAATGAGATGTGGGGTGGTGAGGAATGGGAATCTTGCTTTGGGGTTCAGTTAACCTAGCTTGACAATGTTTCCCACTCATCTTGTGACAAACCATTCTTGTCTAATGTGAGTTCATGCTTATATTTTTACCAGGCATCTAAACTAGCTAGAATAAATTCTGATCTGGGCTGCTTCTCCTTCCCTATGTGCTGTTTTGTTGGGACAGAGACTTTACTACCAAATGCAATAGAATAGAAACCGGTCTGAGTCTTATGTCTAACTCTTTAAATTTTTACTTAATTAGGTGGGAAGTCTACCCAGTTCTCTCTCCTCCCAAAAATACAAACCACATCTATCCTATTTTATATAAATCTCCTTTACCTTCGCCAATAAGCTATCTTGATCATAGGAAGCTTTACAAAAAGCCTATTTTCTATGGGATGCTTATTTTAATGATCCCACCTTGTGCTGTAATCCTAGTGGATCTTGTAGGCTAAGCAGGACTGGACAGGGAACGTGTGTGCACTCAATGAAATGGTATTGGTGAACCAATCTTGAGTCAGTTCTGAACTGATGTTCAGCATGATGTTAGGGGCTTCTGTGGTGGTCCTGAGCATCAGGGCCGGCTCTAGGCACCAGCAAAACAAGCTGGTGCTTGGGGCGGCACATTTTTAGGGGCGGCATGGCCGGCGCCAGAATGCTGCCCCTAAAAATGTGCCCTGGCCGCCCTAGCTCACCTCCGCTGCCGCTCGTGTG